TAATCATTTTCATTCCATTTATTTTAAATTTATCTTAAATATATTTTTAATTCTTCAAAATATAACTAATTTTATTTTTAGTCCCTCATAAATTTAATGGATATTTTTAGTCTTGATTTATATTTTCATCAATATGATTAGTCATTGTTGTTAAGTTTAACCATTAAATCGTTGACATGGTAGTGACTTTGACACATTGGTGTTTGTTACATGTACTAGTACGATAAGTTGCCTGCCATATGTGTATGATGAGAAAATAATTATGAATTTTAAAGTTAATTAAGTAATATTATTTAAATCAAAATTATAAATATGAAAAACAAAAAGAAAAGTGAGGAAGGGATTGGAATTACAATTTAATTGAAGAAATTTAGAGATTTGAAGAAATAAGGGTTTTAAAAGGATTAGAAATGAGATTGAATTGAAAAAATTTAGAGATTTGGAGAATAAAGAATTTTAAAGAGATTAGAATTATGAACAAATAGAAGGAACTTAGAAATTTGAAGAAGAAAGGCTTTGTGTTGTTGTGTGCAGTTCAAATGATGATTCATATGCGTGTCCAAACATCTAATTAGTCTTCGAGTATGTGTCTCAATGATATTTTATAGTGTTTTTCTTGTGCTTCCACGTGGGAGGGATAACTTCACTTAAGATTCATTGTTTGTATACTTAGGATTGACATATAAGTAATTTTATACTCTAAAAGTTTGTGTGCAATCCTACATTGTCAATCCTTTAGCATTAGATCCCTTATGTCGTAAAGGACTCTACCATTATTATTGATGTGAATTTCATTATGTTCAAAGAGTAAGACTTGTGGACAATTTGTTTCCTATGTGAGACAATGAATGTTATCATACTATCAAACAAACACTGATTTGTCAAAATAATAATAACATCAATGATTTAATTGATAAACTTAAAAATAAGGACCAATCATATTAACATAAGTATAAATCAGGAACTAAAAAAGTTCGTTAGACTTATGAGAGATTAAAAACAAAACTTGTTATATTTTGAGAGACTAAAAATATATTTAAATCTTTATTTTTTTTTCAAATTTTATGATGAAATATAAACAAAAAAAGAAGAAATGTCATAAAACTATAATGATCAAATGTTTAATGAGTCACATACTTAATAAGTTTATAAACAATAAAATAAAAATAAAAGGTGTATTGGATTGATATTTCATAAAATTATTTAGCATAATTTTTTCTTTTGTGAATTTTAAAAGATCTTATAAAAAATTTAACGACTTTTAAGATTTTTTTAAAAGTTTTTATAATCAAGATTTTGTAATATAAATTTTAATGAATTTATATCATAAAGTTCATAAGATTTGGAAAGACTTTATAAGGTTTCAAAGGATAATGTGATTTTTTTTAAATAATTCAATTAATAAAAAAAGTAATATAAATGATAAGGTTTGAATTAAGAATAGTAAAATCAATAAAAAAATTAAATATTTTAATAAATAATTGATTATAACTTTATGTCCTCCTAAATAACATTCATTCATATATAACCTTCCATGTATTGATATTTTCAGATTTATGATATTCACTAAAAGGTAAAATTGTCAAAATTAACTCAACTGTATGGGCTAACCCATTGGACTATTAGACCAAACCTAATTAGGTTCATTATTTTTAAGTTTGAAAAAAATTGAGTCAATTTGACCTAACTAAATAGTCCAATTATGTTAAGCTTAGCCAATAAAAATTAGGCTTGAAAAGTATCAAGTCTTTTTGATTTGGTACTATTGACATTGATGCATAAAATTTGATATGAAATAATATCTTCATCTCTCCATGACAATTTAGTGATAAATGTTCCGACAATAAGATATAACATTTATTACCATAGCATTTAGAATGAACTCTATATATCTCACTATGTTATAACTTATCGTTAGAATAATAATAATAAAGATAAAATTGTCGCATTATGATTTTTTTATAAAACCAATAAAATTATCTAAAATAACTACTTCGCGCTACAGTAACCATAGTTTTAGCATTTAAAAAATATTTTAAAATAAATGATATTTTTACTTTTTAATATAATATTAAATATTAATTAATATATTTTTTAATTTATTCATTCATAGATTATTCAACCATCAAAATCAAAGATAATATATTTATTTAAAAAGTAAATTATTTTAATAAAATTATATAAAAAATTACATTTATTTTTAACATGAGTGTAGAAACTTTAAACTAATATTCATTGTGAGATGATGAAAGTATTAAATATTTAACGTGCACTTAATGAATTTTTTACAAATCTTAAATCAATGCTATTTGAAAATGCATTAACTCTTGAGATTAATGAATTACTTGAAAATTCATTTACTTGAAATTAATACATTTAAATTATCACCGTTTCTGTTTGAAGTCCGTAAATGTTAAACTTTCAAAAGTACAAGACAATTAATGAATTCAAATTTTAAGAGTAATGATTTTAATTTATACTTATTTCATAATGATATATGTATAATAAAATTACACGATATTTTTTATTATTATTTATTTATCATTAATAAAAAATAATAAATAAAGCAATGGAAAAGAGATATTTCTTATTGCATCATTACTTTAAAGAGTTAATCATCTATACACTGTCAGTGTAAAGTTTTTTTACACTGACAGTCAATTAGAGCTGTTAATAGTGCCTTTTTATCTGTTCATTTAATTAAATTAAAATAAAAAAGGCATTTTTAATGACTTTGATTGACTGTCAGTGTAAAAAACTTTACAATAGCAGCGTATAGGTGATTAACTCTACTTTAAAATACTATCCGGCTATGCTACGTACTACTTTGAGAATAACTTCTAACATGACTTAATTGGATATATGTTATGAGTTAATCACTTATACACTGTCAGTGTAAAGTTTTTTTACACTGTCAACCAATTATATCTTTTAATTGTGTCATGTCACTATAAACACATTTATTTTTAACTATAACAGGACACAATTAAAAGATATAATTGGTTGCCAGTGTAAAAAAACTTTACACTAACAATATATAGGTGATTAACTCATATGTTATTGCATTATTTTTAAAGCTGTTTATATTTCTCTATTGAAATTAAAAATAATATTCAGTCAATACACTGGTCATTAATTTGTTAATTATTTGTCTATAATTATAATTGTCTTCATATATTGGAAACCTTCTACGAAAATAAGAGTCAACAAGAGAAGAATAAAAAAATGTGATATAATACGAGTAATTGATGTAAGAATTTTAAATTAATAAAACATTAAAATATGAAATAATACTAGTAATTAATATGAGGTTAAAAATAATAAAACATTAAACATTGTCCCACCTATATAAAAACTTATTATTTATTCCTTTCCTATGATAAGTGTTGTCTTAAATTATTTTAGATATGTTTAGACTTAAAAATAAGTATTTTTAAATAAATATTTTAAAAAAATAAATTTTTAAGAAATAAATAAGAGTTGATTATTAAAAAAAAAACTGTTTTTTTAACAATTTAGACAAACACATAAAAAATAAAAAATAAGTGTTTATTTTATTAAAAAACATTTTTAGAAATATTTTCTTAAAATAAATAGACTTCTTAATAGAACTAAGAAAAAATAATAAATAGGTGAAACAGAATAATAATTTATAAAATTAATCTTACGATTAATTTTCTTTATTAGAAATAATATAAAATAAAAATTACTTTTTACATCATATTATTAAGAATATAAATGAAAAAAAAGATAATTAATAATATATTAAAAAATTAACATGATATTTATTTGAGACTTATTTTTTCTTTTGATCTATCACTTATTAAGAAATAAACATTTTTGAAAACTAAAATATCAATTATTTCCTTAAGTCCTGTGTAAAAACTTTAAACAACTATAAAACAAAGGAGGGAGTAATAGAGTATAATAAATTATGATTTATAAGATATCCCCCCACTCACACACACTCTCTCTCTCTCTCTATGTATATATAAATAAATAGGCGTAAAATTTTAACGATTTAACCGTTCAATTTAAAGTTCTTAATGCATAGTTGGATCGTTAAAATTTAATCTATACATTAAAAACTTTAAATTGAATAGTTGGATCGTTAAAATTTGATGTAGAATATGAGTTATTGAACGGAGTAAATATAGGTAGACTTACTCCTAGAGTAAATGGATCCTTCCTCTATAGACTATAGTAACACTTTTTATATGTGATTAGATGTAAAACTTTTTGCAATGATTATTTTTATATCTAATATGTTAAGATATATTAATATTTCATTTATATTTATTCTATCATGTATTTTTTTTTTACTTTACGACAAAATTGTCTTAATTTTTTTTATATTATTATAATATATTTTATTTTTTGACTGAAAATTTATTACCTCTTTATTTATTAAAGATGTCATAATTTAGTTTACAAATATAAGTTATTTTTTAATTTTTATTTTAGTTTTTAACCCTTTTGATCTTGTATATGTACATTATGTGTTGGTAGGAGAGGATCCAAATTAAGAGAAATGTGAGTAATTGTCACAAAAGGTTTTTATTTTTTTTTACTTAAACATATTTAATAAAAAAATAAATTTACTCTTATAAAAAAATAGGTGTTGTTTTCATAAAATATTTTTGTTTTAAATGAACGTAAAAATTTAGAAAAGATACAAAAGAAAATAAATAATAATTATATTGTCTTTATCTTAATAATTTATAATATTTTGTTCCTCTAAAATTAAATAAATCACCAAAAATTATAACATTATACTTAAAATATAATACCAGACAGAGAAAAAAAGAAAAAATTGTCACTTTATTTATGAAAAAATTTTAATTTATAAAAAATAGGTATATTAAATTTTTTATCACAAAAATATAATTTTTAAAAATTATTATATTTTTAATATAAAAAATTATAAAATATTTTATTACCCCTACTTTAACAATTTTTCAGAATGTGTGTATATATATCTCCCATGTTAGTATCTTCTGTACTACAAGAGTAGAGAACTAGAACTTCACTGTGCCATGTCCCAGACCATGAAGTCGAGTCCACGACTCCGAAATTCTTATGTAATTTTGTCATCGTATCTTGAGTTTTTCTTATATATGAACACATATTTTGTCACGAAAAACCACCAAATACAGTTTTCTGATGCACGTAAACACATTTTTTTTTTGTTTGACAAACTATTGTTTTGTGTAGGTGATTGGTGTGATATCTGTAATGCTGATATTGGGATCACAAAATGTGAAGGTAGCAGAATGCAGGGTAGCAAATGAAGTGAGCAACGTTATTGAATACCCTGCCATAAATTGTCGAAAGCATGGTGCCTTATTGACAGATTTTGGTGGGGTTGGTGATGGCGTTACATCCAACACAAGGGCCTTTCGATATGCAATAAGCAATCTCAGCCAATATGCAACTGATGGGGGTGCCCAACTTGTAGTGCCACCTGGAAGATGGCTAACAGGACCCTTTAATCTCACTAGCCATTTCACTCTTTTTCTCGAATATGGTGCTGTTCTGCTTGCATCTCAGGTATATAGCCTATAAATAACGTTTTGTTTAGCACTCAGCACCATTGAGAACAGTATTCTCCTATTATCCACCGAAGGGTCTCTTATAAATTACATGACCAAATTGACAGGATGAATCTGAATGGCCACAACTTCCTGTACTACCTTCTTATGGAAGAGGAAGAGATGCTCCCGGTGGAAGGTTTAGCAGTCTAATTTTTGGAACTAACCTCGTTGATGTTGTAATTACAGGTAACTATTTAGCCCAAGTAATAGATCTTTATTCTTGTTAAAGTTCATTTTAAAGTGCTTCAGTTAATTTTAATTTGATTTGACTTTTTTTGAATTTGATCATTAGGTCAAAATGGTACAATTGATGGGCAAGGATCCTATTGGTGGAACAAGTTCCGCATGAGTCAATTGAATCTCACCAGGCCATACACGATTGAGATCATGTACTCTAGTCAAATCCAAATATCAAATCTCACATTGGTCAATTCCCCATCCTGGTTTGTCCATCCAATTTACAGCAGGTTTGATAAGGCTTCTTTGTTCAAATTTCTTAACCATGGCCTTCCTGTTTTTTTCTTGATGTATTGTGTTTTAATTATTCTGATCAAGCTTTATATCTTCAGCAACATAATAATAAAAGGGCTTACCATTATGGCCCCAGTTGACTCTCCCAACACAGATGGGATAGACCCAGGTAAAGACTTTATTCTTCTATTATATACTTTCACTGACTTTATTCTTCTATAATTAGATTACATAATTGCAATTTAAGTGGTGAAAATAGTAATCTATTACTGAGACTGATTATATATATTAATTAACAACCACTGTCTAATTGTTCTATCTTTTTTTTCCCTCTTGATAGACTCATGTACAAACGTTAGGATTGAGGACTGCTATATTGTCTCCGGTGATGATTGTATTGCAGTAAAAAGTGGGTGGGATGAGTATGGAATTAAATTTGGAATGCCAACCCAACACCTAATCATTAGAAGGATTACTTGCATATCCCCTGATAGTGCCATGATTGCTTTTGGAAGTGAAATGTCTGGTGGAATCCAAGATGTTAGAGCTGAAGATCTCACTGCTATCAACACTGAATCAGCAGTTAGAATCAAAACAGCAGTTGGTAGAGGGGCATATGTGAAAAACATATTTGTGAAAGGAATGAACCTCAACACCATGAAATATGTATTTTGGATGTCTGGCTCTTATGGATCACACCCTGACCCTCACTTTGATCCCAATGCACTTCCACTCATTACTGGAATAAATTATATGGATGTCATTGCAAGGAACGTCACAAAATCCGCAAGACTTGAAGGGATTTCCAATGACCCTTTCACCGAAATCTGCATTGCTAATGTGACTATCCAAGTGAGTGCGGAGAAAAAGAAGCTTCAATGGAATTGCACTGATGTTGCTGGAGTTACAAGCAGGGTCAATCCTTACCCTTGTCCTTTGCTGCCAGACAGAGGGAATTTTGATTGTCCTTTTCCAAATAACGTTCTGCCCATTGAAAATGTTCAGTTCAGGACTTGTAATGTCTAATTCTAGTTGCATGGGTGTATTTGAACTTTGATAGCAAAAGTGTTTTTATCCATGCAGTTGTTTTAAGAAAATGAAATCAAAAGAAGTAATTGATTATGTTATCCTCCATAAGTCCAAAATATTGCTGAGAATGGAATAGAAAGTGGTTTCTTATTTTCATAAAACATGACAGTAAAGATGATAGCTTTATGCATTCTATTTGCAGCAGAACAATGGAATGCTATGATTAGGTGTAGCTCACAAATCATTAGATATTAATAAACTGCAAGGCATATCTACTTTAAGTAGATTATTAAAGTCAACCAGTTCGTGAAGGGTGTTCAATTATAAGTTGTGCTACACTGAGAATGAATTGAACTAAGTAAAAACAATTCAGTAATTTGGTAGAATACTGATAGTGTATTATCGGGTTATACATGGGGAGTTACATTTACCTTTCAAACCAATTTCGTGAATTTAAGTTAGACTCTTAACTTACTTTCTTAAGATGATATTAATGTTTATTTTAACGATTTTTGTTGTTGAATTTATTGGACTATCCACTATTGAACGTTATTGAACTACTTACAGATATTGTTATGAAACTTAAATTAGGAGTTTTGTTTTGCTTGGTATTCCTAGAATAATATTAATGGTGTTAATTATGAGTGACATTTAAAGATGCAAACGTTGTTTTTTCTTTATGCTATAAATAAGTGTAATATTTCATTTGCAATGTGAATGAGAATACAGAGAGTTTATTTGCTCCCAATTTATGCCTTTTGTTCTTAACAAATTGGCATCAGAGCTTGTGTGTGTGAGGTGAGTGTGTGAGCGGACCTGCAAAAGTGTTGCGGTGTACCCAGCCCGAGAGAAGAGTGTCAAAAAGTCTTGTGAGGTGTGTGAGTGGAGCGTATACACTCAAGAGAGATGGCAGAATTAACTAATGGCATTCCACTACCCAAGTTGACTAAAGATGTCAACTACGATAACTGGAAGCTGCAGATGAAGACCCTTCTCGGCTCCCAAGATAACTGGGATGTGGTTGAAAATGGGCATGAGGAACCGGTGACTACCGAGGGGTATACAAATGCCCAACTGAATGCATTGAAGGTTGTTCGAGCAAAGGACAAGGCAACATTGTATTTGTTGTACCGAGCTGTTGACAAGTCGGGTTTTGAGAAGATAGCTAATGCTAAATCTTCAAAAGAGGCATGGGATATACTCGAGAAAGCAAAAAATGGAGATGAACGCGTGAAGCAAGTTCGGCTTCAAACCCTTAGGGGCGAACTGTAAAACATGAGAATGAAGGAGTCCAAAGGAGTATCCGAATTTATTACTCGGGTAGAAACTGTGGCGAACAAACTAAACAGGAATGGAGAGAATCTTCCCTCAAGCCGAGTTGTGGAGAAGATCTTAAGGTCATTGACAGATGACTTTGAGAATATAGTGTGTGCAATCGAAGAGTTCAAGGATTTGTCAACGCTCACTGTCGAAGAGCTTACTGGGTCCCTGGAGGCGCATGAGCAGAGAAAGAAGAATAAGAAGGAGAAGGGGGAGTCTCTTGAACAGGCTCTCCAGGCGAAGGCAACAATAAAGGAGGAGTAGGTGCTCTATGCTCAGAGTACTAGAGGTCGACGAAGAGGTAGAGGCATAGGTGGTCGAGGAAGAAGAGGACGAGGTGATGAGTATGTCGGCCAACAGGCTCGGCGTGGCCGAGGTCAGGCTCGGGGAGGCCGAGGTCAGACCTGGGGTGGCCGATCAAACACAAATAACAATATTGAATGTTATAACTATGGAAAGTATGGACATGTTGCCAAGGAGTGTTACTCGATCAAATGCTACAATTGTGGAAATCTGGGTCATATTTCCAAAGATTGTAGGTCCGAGAAGAAAAAGGAGGAACCAACAAACTTTCTTGCCGAGGAAGAAGATGAAGGATTGTTGCTGGTGACAACCATTCAAAAAACCGAGATCAAACCGAGCTGTTCTTCCGAGATCAAATCGAGTTGTTCTGATAACTCAGTTTGGTACTTGGACACCGACACAAGTAACCACATGTGTGGTGACGAGCATTTATTCAAAATACTTTCAAAGGAGGAGTTCGGATCCGTTTCTTTCGGCGATGCATCAAAAGTAGCCGTCAAAGGCCGAGAAACGAACTGGTATCAACAAAGAAATGGGAAAATCGGAGAGATCAGAGATGTATACTACGTGCCTGATCTCAAAAGCAACCACTCGGGTACTTGAAGAGAGGAGATGAAAAAAAGGTGCTGAGACTTAAACGCACAAGAGATACAAATATTTTTAATGTAAAAAATTCCTCAATATAAGGATAAAAATCACTAATCATTCAGATTAAAGAAAAACTTCACTATGATCAACAAAACGTACAAGAGAGTCCCCAAAGAATACATCAATCAATGCTTAGAATCGATCAAAGCAAAATTGAGCACAATTACTTACAATTAAGAAATAAGAAAATAAAAAGACTCAAAATAGAGTTGCTACTACCAGACATTTTTCTTCTACTTCGAACTTTCTTTCAATGATTCAACAGCTGAATATAAAATATCACATCACATAAATTTATTGTCCAAAAATCAATCTAATCAAATGATAAACGAATCTTTAATTACAATTCAATAAACGTTACTAAGTAAATATACGACTTGTAATTTTTTTCTTATCTTTTTTTTTCTATATTTTTACTATTATTTTCTCAAATTGAGTCACTCTCAATAATCTAATTTAACCTTTTCCCAATTAATTAAATAAAATATAATAGCAACTTAAACCTATTTTCCACCCAATAAAAGTGATCAAAATCCAATAATTTGCTCCATGGTGGGTTACTTGTCAATTACCCTTATCTCGTGCAACAAAAAGTCATAAACTTACTTTGTACTCAAATCCGTACATTTCAACTTTTTTTTTTTTTTAAATTCTTTTTTACTTTCTCCCCTATCTTTTTTTTCCCCCTTCTTTTTCACACTTATGATAGCAGGCCCACAAAATATGGAAATGGACCTAAATTAAATAAATAATTCATTTTTGGAAACTGACTGCTCGTCTTGGTGCTTTGCTTTGTTGGAATTTCATGATCACTGGTTTTCTCGCGACTATTCTATTTTAAAAAAATTCCATATACACGAAGAATATAAAATTAAAATGAATTTAAAATACTCATTTATATATAATAAAAATATGAATGAAAATATAAAGTTGTAATACTTTAAAGTTTTAATTTAATTTTTTAATAATTAATTTAAATAATAATATGCTATTTGAATAATCATTTATAAGCATTTTATTAAACGTTCGTTTACACCAAGCATCTTATTATACTTAATATTTTGTAAATACTGATTGAAATAATGAAAGAATTGATTTTTAATCGGATAAGTAATTAAAAAGAAGTAAATAATAATAATTTGATTTTATGTGAATACTCATAAGACATGTGCTGTGAAATAAAAAATACATGAATGTATAAGTATGATAACACATATATAAGAAGCCATCTTATTATTAAAACTAAAAACTTAATTTTATCATATAGAAGTGAATAATTTGTTTAAGGAATTGATTAAATCCTTCCTAAAAGAACTTAATTTTAAAATAAATTAGCGTTGCCTCAATTTTTAGTTTAATTTAAATGGATCCGATTTTAATTTATTAGCTTATTTTTTATAAAACAAATTGTCTTATTTATCCTCTTTAGATTTTCTCATAGATTAAAAAAAAAATCTCGAACACCGGTTTCCATTTGCAGAAAGTGGAAAACAATGGATAAGCTCTACCAGTTCCCAAGTGCTATCATACTGAATTACACAATGTCATGATATTCGTGAATTGATAAATAATATTTATAATTTAATTTAATAAATTAAATTAATAAAAAAAAACAGGAAACTAAAATAAAGAAGAAACTCCCTTCCTCCCATTTTCCCCTCTTTTTATTAGATAAAAAAGTCTCTCTAATTTGTTCTAGTTAATTGGCAACATCATCAATGTGAAACACTTCATGTAATTGCCCACTTTTAATCTAACAAATAAAGTTGATTGTTGACAGTAAATACACCTTTGTTGACATTAATTGGGTTGTTGCCAACATTGTAATCTAACAATAAAGTTGATTGTAATTACAACTTTTTTGAAATTAATATCTTCTCAACTTTGCTTTATAGATTAAAGTATTATTTATTCAAGGGATACATTAAAAAAAATTAAATATATTTTTAGTCCTTTAAATTTATGATAATTTATTTTTGGTCTTTCAAATTTAAAATTATTGTTTTTAGTTTTTATAATTTTAAAGAATATTATTTTAGTTCTTATATTTAAATTTTGTTAAAAATTTTATCAAATATTATTACATAAAATTTATCTACTAATGTCTTTGTTAGTGAAAATATCATATTAAATGAATTGTAAAAGGCTGATTGGAATGAGAGATGGGAAAAGTAATTAAGTTTAAGGGGGAGATTTGCTATGAAACTTAAATTAGGAGTTTTGTTTTGCTTGGTATTCCTATAATAGTATTAATGGTGTTAATTATGAGTGACATTTAAAGATGCAAACGTTATTTTTTCTTTCTGCTATAAATAAATGTAATATTTCATTTGCAATGTGAATGAGAATACAAAGAGTTTATTTGCTCCCAATTTATGCCTTTTGTTCTTAACAGATATTTAATATGGTCTAATTTGACATTCTAACAAGTCAGGTCAAATTAGAGATAACAAGACTTGTGTAAAAGGTAGATCAAACTATACTATCTCATTTCTCATCATTTTCTAATTGGCTAACTTCGGTTAGGTTGAGCTATTTGACGACTTTACTTATAATTTTTAACAAAATTAGTTACTATTTTTGATAATAAATATTTCGTACCAACATTATGATTATCCAAAAATATATATCTCTTGAGTATGGATAAACAAAGGACAAAATTATCCTTACTTTAACCTAATTTGTTAGTTAGACTATTTATTTAAACTCAAACTCAATCTCATTGATACAAGATAAGAATGAGTCAACTTGATTTTCCAATACAATAAATTAACACTAAAATTATATACAATTATGTCACAAAATGAAAAATTGTAAAACTAAATTAAAATATACTTTATAATAAATAATTCAATTAAAAATATAATATTATGTTATAAATTAAAAATTATTATTAATACATAGTTGTTTAAAAAAATTGTATTTTTTAAGAGAATTATCTTTTTAATATATACAATGCATGAGATAAGTATTATTTTTATATAACTAAAATTTATAATAAATAAATATTTTTAATATATAAATTATATTATAATTAAAATTTATAATAATTTTTTAAATATAAAATACATTTAAAATTTATAACAAGTAATTTATTTTGTAATATCACCATAAAATTTAAATTTTACTTTTACAATGAAGACAATTAAAAATTAAAATTAAGTCTCTAATTTACTTGAATTTCTCATCATTAACTTAATTTTTTGTCTATGAAAAGATGGGTTTATTTTAGTTTTAGTCTAATAATAAATTGTTTAGTTTTAGATTTTAAAAACTATAAATACCGTGTGTGTATATATATAATTATTGATGAAAAATTAAGCTCACAAATTTTTATAATAATTTTTTAATTATTAATTACCACTAATTATATTTAAAAGGAAAATTGCATCATGAGGCTAATCATTTTAAAATATTTTATAAATTACTGTTTAAAAATAGTATAAAATGTATATTTTATTGAGTATTTTAGTAATTATTTAGAAAACACAAATAACTTATAATAATAATTAAATAATTTTGAAATTTATTTTAACAATAATAAAACTCTTACTAACTATTTGCTGTTAATGTGTATAAAATAGTATTCTTTTGCAAATTCAATTTAGTGTAGAATTAGAATTCTTAAATGATTAAAATAGCGTTAAGACAAATCACGTTGAAAGGGAGGAAGTTAGGAGAAAGTTCCAGATTCTGGAACTAACACCAGCCTGAGCCTAGGGAGAAAATTCGCGATTCGCTGACGAAAATAAGTAACCTATGTACTCGCAGAGCCCAAAATATTATGATTTATGATTTTGAAGTTATAGTACATTAGTAATTGGTAATTACATTTAAATTTGTGCATGAGTGGAATGGAACTAAAGCGCCAAAAAAACCCGAAATATAAAAAATATATATTTTCAAAGGATGGAGAGAAAAGTAGAAGATTCTAGAGTATGCGTGGCGTGGGTTATCGAAATCCAACGCTGGGCTCTGCTATTTAAATCCCCTTCATCTGCCCCCTTTGAATCAAAGAAGGAAATAGAGATTGTGATCTGTAATCATCTTACTGTTGTGGTGCAATGGCGGAAGCCGAAACGTTCGCATTCCAGGCGGAAATCAACCAGCTCCTTAGCCTCATCATCAACACCTTCTACAGCAACAAAGAAATCTTCCTTCGCGAACTTATCAGCAATGCCTCTGACGTAAGTTACTCTTCTCTCTTCTTCTAAGTTCTAATTCTCCGTTTCCTTAGTTTTCAACCTTGTTAATTTGAATACTTGTAGGCTCTGGATAAAATCCGATTTGAGAGTCTCACCGATAAGAGCAAGCTGGATGCTCAGCCAGAGCTCTTCATTAGATTGCTCCCTGACAAGGTTAACAAGACGATCTCCATCATCGACAGTGGCGTCGGCATGACCAAAGCAGGTAAATGGTAATGCATGCGCCTCTTCCTTAGTTACTATTAATTAATCAATACTCTGTTTGTTAATTAATTAATCGTGTGTGCTTCAGATTTGGTGAACAATTTGGGAACCATTGCACGGTCTGGCACCAAGGAATTCATGGAGGCCTTGCAGGCTGGTGCTGACGTCAGCATGATCGGTCAATTCGGCGTTGGTTTCTACTCCGCCTACCTCGTCGCCGAGAAAGTAATCGTCACCACCAAGCACAACGACGATGAACAATACATTTGGGAATCGCAAGCCGGTGGCTCCTTCACCGTTACTAGGGATGTCAATGGCGAACAACTCGGAAGAGGAACTAAGATTACCTTGTTCCTCAAGGAAGATCAGGTAAGTAGAAAATCTTTAATTAAATAATCAATTATCAACAATTCAACTCTCCATGGTTAATTTTATGTTGGTTGTTTGTTATAGTTGGAGTACTTGGAGGAGAGGAGGATTAAGGATCTTGTGAAGAAACACTCTGAATTCATTAGCTACCCTATTTACCTCTGGACGGAGACGACGACTGAGAAAGAGATCAGTGATGACGAGGATGATGAGCCCAAGAAGGAAGAGGAGGGGGACGTTGAGGAGGTTGATGAAGAAAAAGAGAAAGAGAAGGACGGTAAGAAGAAGAAGAAGATTAAGGAGGTTTCTCACGAGTGGCAACTCATTAACAAGCAGAAACCAATCTGGTTGCGCAAGCCAGAGGAGATTACCAAGGAGGAATATGCGTCATTCTACAAGAGTCTCACCAATGACTGGGAGGACCACTTGGCCGTTAAGCATTTTTCAGTGGAGGGTCAGCTTGAGTTCAAGGCCATTTTGTTTGTGCCCAGAAGAGCACCTTTTGATTTGTTCGACACCAGGAAGAAGATGAACAACATCAAGCTGTATGTTCGGAGGGTGTTCATTATGGACAACTGTGAAGAGCTCATTCCGGAGTATCTTGGATTTGTCAAGGGTGTGGTTGACTCTGATGATCTCCCACTCAACATCTCTCGCGAGATGCTGCAGCAGAACAAGATCCTCAAGGTGATCAGGAAGAACCTTGTGAAGAAGTGCATTGAGATGTTCAACGAGATCGCGGAGAATAAAGAGGATTACAACAAATTCTATGATGCTTTCTCGAAGAACTTGAAGCTGGGGATCCATGAGGATAGCCAGAACAGAGCGAAGTTGGCTGATTTGCTCAGGTACCACTCTACGAAAAGTGGGGATGAAATGACGAGCCTGAAGGACTATGTTACAAGAATGAAGGAGGGTCAGAAGGATATTTACTACATCACCGGAGAGAGCAAGAAGGCCGTGGAGAATTCTCCGTTTTTGGAGAGACTCAAGAAGAAGGGCTATGAGGTGCTCTTCATGGTGGATGCTATTGACGAGTATGCTGTTGGGCAGCTGAAGGAGTATGACGGGAAGAAGCTGGTGTCTGCTACCAAGGAAGGGTTGACGTTGGATGACGAGAGCGAGGAGGAGAAAAAGAAGAAAGAGGAGAAGAAGAAGTCTTTTGAGGAGCTCTGCAAGACAATTAAGGAGATATTGGGAGACAAAGTTGAGAAGGTGGTTGTCTCTGATAGAATTGTTGATTCCCCATGCTGTTTGGTGACTGGGGAGTATGGTTGGACTGCGAATATGGAGAGGATCATGAAGGCTCAGGCGTTGAGGGATAGCAGCATGAGTAGCTACATGTCTAGCAAGAAGACCATGGAGATCAACCCGGACAATGGAATCATGGAGGAGCTGAGAAAGAGGGCTGAAGCTGATAAGAATGATAAGTCAGTGAAAGACCTCGTGTTGCTACTCTTTGAGACAGCACTCTTGACTTCTGGTTTCAGCCTTGATGATCCCAACACGTTTGCTGCTAGAATTCACAGGATGCTGAAGCTCGGTCTCAGCATCGATGAAGAGGAGACTGGTGGGGATGAAGATATGCCTCCACTGGAGGAGGATGGTGCCGAGGAGAGCAAGATGGAGGAAGTTGACTAAGGCCATGGGATGTGTTTGATATTGATAGTATGTTTGTGGGGTGTTAGTCTTACAATTGGTGGTGGGTGCGTCTGAGAGTCTGTCTATAGAGTGTGTTTTCTTGTCTTTGGTAGTAGTTCTGTGGTGTCAATATGTGTTCTGTTGTGTGCGTATGACTGGTATAAATATCAATGAAGAGGATCATGTGAATTTCTCCTAAATTTTGTTTCCTAATATTCAGCGGTTAGTCAACTGAAATTGGACGATATTATGTTCATTTACCGAGCCTTCTTAAGAAAGGATCATGATGATAACTAAGAGTGTAACTTACTAATTCGTTAAGTTCATAAATCATCATATTTTATGTTTGCATATATATCGTCAGACGTCAGATGCTTGTGATAGTTCCATTTGCGCAGCGGGAGGATGAATTTGTGGCTGAGACTGAAGCCAATTTTCCCTGCAAGAGTAAGTTACGTTGTATGCTACATAAAATTAAAATCATTTATCATGTAAAAAGAGCGATTTAGTTTTAGAAAAATCATAGATGAATGATAAGTTTTTGTTAAATTTCACTGCAACTGGGATATCCAATTATGGTCCTCCAACGTTACCGCGCCTTCTCCCAGTTTCTTGATTGTTTAGGTTCCGAGACAAAGCCTCCAAATCACAATCAACATTTTGTCGTTTGCTTTATCTGAGGTGGAGTTACCGGACCAGGGGTTTGTAAGGTTATTTTTAATGCGTGAGAGAGAAGGGGTTATCTAATTTATCCAAATAGAAAATGGGTCAAACAACTTTATAGACCATGGTTAGTTAATTAATAAAATGAACCAATCATTTTAACAATTAATTACACTATTTCTACGGTGTTAAGTAAGACATTTTTTTTAGAAGTGTCATAAAATTATTGAATTATTGAAATGTTACAAAATTTTTAAGTTCTAATCTTATTTATTTTCAAATTTAACAGTAATTTTTAGAATCTGATTAGAATGTATTATTATGCATGTCATATACTGACATTGTTGATTTGTGTAATAATTGTTTTTTTAAAAAATATATTTATAATAATATTTAATTGATGAATATTATAAATTTGTATATATTAAAATATATAAAAAAAAATTTCTGAATAAATTTGTATTAATTAGAGTACCATTAACATTTATTCATAATATATAAAATTGGAAATATAGGCTTGCATTAACATATCTGAGGTTTGATGTGTTATTTTGTCATTTCAACATTTTTACTTAGCTGTCACTCGCTTTCCATATTCAATATAAGCACTTAAAAACATATTGTTATCTAATATTATTATTAAAATTATTATCTTTAATTTAAATCTTAATTACATTTTAAACTAATTTTACTTATAAAATTTACTCTTCTTAAATTCAAGCATTTAATATTCTATTTAAATTTTCAACTTATTTATGTATATCTCTTTTATAATTTTAAATAATTTTCTCTTAAATAGTTTTTAATTTACATTTTCAAAGTTGACCTAAATTGAAAAAAATATTTATGAAATACTTGTTGTTAGGCAATAATAATGTGAATGATAACAAAACAAAGTATGAGGAAATTCACATTACTTTTTCAAAGGAATATTTGTATTAATAATATAAATAAATATTACTAAGCTAAATATTCACCAAAAAAATAAAATAAAATCTCCATAACAAACTACTAGTAGTATATGAAAACATGCGCGAATGAGCGTGACTAGTACTGGCGAGGGTAAAACGCGTGGCGTCGTGGTCAGTGTCTACAAATAGAATAGCAATAATAATTCCAACAGATTCTCACACTTACTCTTCACTCTTCCTTCTTCACCAAGCTTTTTGTTTCTGCTTCTATTTTCTCTTTCTCAAACAAGTTTTACCGAGAAACTTCTTCTCAGAGAAAATGTATCGTTTGCCTCTTCCGCAACCACCTCCACCACCACCACCACCACCACCGGATGCTATTCCCGCTATTCTTGTTCTCGTTATCGTTGCTGTTATTGTTGTCATTTTTCTTTTCGGCAAAATTCAAAGATAGTACACACTTGCGTTCACTCTTAGGCGAGATCTCAGTAACAATGTGCTCGTCTTTAGGTTTCGTAGCTTCTTCTTGACACGTTTAACAGCATTCTTGCAACTTGTTTTCCAACTCTTGTTGCTTCAAAAGACTCTAGCATTTCGAGTCAATAATCGTTGACCAATTATTTTCCTTACAAAATGAGCCAAGAAACTGCAACTGCGACGTTCTCGGCGCCGTCTCCTTCTCATGTTCAAGTCCAAGAGCCTAACAAGTAAACACTGATAGTGATCAATAGTTATTATATTAACATTCTCTTAATCCGAACGATTATTTTATTCATACTTTCTTGATTCGAATGATTAATTTATTTATATTGTCCTCATTCGAATGCTTATTATATTGATATTTTCTTGTTCTGTACAAACCAACTGTTTTGGTTTATGGCATGTCTTAAGCTTCTGCTGCTCTTTTTTTATTTTATTTATTTATTTAACTTATAGCCCATGCCTTTTGAATTTATTTAGTAATTTCTTTAGTATAATCTTCTTTCTGTCTGTCGGCTAAGAAACTACCAAGTCATATTATAGGACGTTTACCTTTTTTCTTTTTCTTGTTACGACTGAAAATCGCTTGAGCACAGTAGAATCTTTAAAGATTTTTATCAGCGAGGTTTTAGTTTGGTGAGGATCCAGAGTTATGCAACTGATGATGAAAAAAATGACTCATTGATGCTGCAATTTTTTTCCCTAGTAACTAAGTAACACGTTTTTATGTCTCGAATTAAATTAAGATCCTAAAGATTTGGTATTGCAGGCGGTCAAAAATTTCATATACAAGAGAATTTCTTCTCTCCTTAGACAAAGCGGACAGCACAGTAAAATTACCCGCGGAGGCTCAGTCCTCAATTTCATGGTTAAAAATAATACCTCTTATGGCATTGTGTTTTTAGAAGATTAACTCTTGTTTAATTCGTGCCTGTTTCTTTAACAGCGCGGTTGACGAGGCATCCGGCCTTCTATCTTCACCTTTATGTGCTCCAGTTCCAGGTGTGTTACTATTCAAGATTTGCCAATCTGTTTACTAGCGTATTGCATTTTGTAGTTTTGTTCGACAAAAATATTTTTAAATATTCATTCATGCTTTCGCACAGATTCCAAATGTCAAAGAAATGTGCCTCAAATTTTTTCTTTCAATGTTCCGGATGATGCTAATCAACTACTGCATAAAAGTGATGAGCCGTATCGGCCTCCATATCGCTACAAGGTCTGATTTGAACTTTATATAAAACTTTTGAACGGAGTATCTTCAAATATGGTTCCTATAGAGTAACAAACTGTAAGGTAGATTTAGGCATGCAACCATTTATTTCCGCTGTGTCAAGGGTCCATGTTCTTTTTCAGGCACTTCCTTCTTCAACTAGAGATAGCAGTGATTTCCTTAACGGTGACACTTCTGGATCTTTTCAAGAGGTAGCAGATATGGAAATACGGAGAAAAGGTCTAATATCTTTTTATGTGATTCTTTATCGTCTTCTTATATAGTTATATTGTCAACTTGTCGTCCATAAGGTTATTATATCATTTTTCTCATTATCAATGAGTATCCACTATGTAATTCTGTTGGTACATAAAGAAAAGGCTAGACATTTTTGCCGAAATGAAAAGTATCAAGCTAAGATTTTCATGAAGATAATTTATATGCAGATACTGTCGGTGTGCCCAAGGAGGCCAAATGGCATTCTGATTCCAAGGATTCTTCTGACGAATTTCTGAGGTCACCAACTACAAGAAACTCGAATACCTTGCAATTTACTTCTACTGTAATCAGTAAGCAATTAGATGGTTCACGGAAATCATGTCAGATTCAAGGTGCTATAAGAGGGGATGCTGGTCCGTCCACACTGCTTGAGACTGCTAAAAATTGTCCTACCCCAAGTCAGGAAGTGCAAGATTTAACTACTAATGGATCAGTAAATCCATGGCTGAAAACTATAAACCACATTGATGCATCTTGGCTTCTTCTTTCAATGATGGATAATGGCCATATAGAGTCAGAAGAAAGTTCAAACTTGGATGTGGAACTTCAGGAAGGGACTGCCCGTGTTATGGAATCCCTAAACAAAAGCATATCACCAAGCTTCTTAAGCGAAGAGAATTGTGGAAATCACAAGAAGAATCATTGTGTAGTGGAACATGAACAAGGTTTCTTGGACTTGGAATTAAGTAGTACATCAGCTTGCGTCTATGATTCCTCGGAGGCTTATATCTCTCCTACTAGTTTGGAAGAGGAAAAACAGTTTGTTTCAATGATTGATGACTGTGAATCATCTACGGTCAACTGTAAAGGCATTTCAGTTTGCATGAAGCAAAATCCATCCAGCTCTGGTTTCCAAATTCACCGGGAGTTGGAATTAAATTCTTCCAGTGGCAGCTTAGATGGAGAATCAAATTCGAGCTTTGAACTTTGTTTGCCTGACGAGGACAGTTTAATTACATTTGAAGAATTCTTGATGCCTGATGTGGAAAATTTGGCCGTGGTGGATGGTTCCATGTCTAGTAGCCCTGAAAGGCATACAACTGAAGCTGATGTGTTTAGTCCAAGGTCACCGCGTGAAATGGTTGAGAAGCTAGTGGATTTTATACTCAATGATGAAAGCTCTGCACCACATGTGGATGATCCAATAGAGCACCATGGAGCTGGACTTGGGGGCTTTTCCCACTCTCTGAATACTCAGGAAACTCGCACAGAGTTCTGCTCCAATCAATTGAATCCAGAGAGGGATCAAGATCATAATGGTTTTCAAAGAAACTCCATTGATTCAGCCGTATATTCCTTTTTCTCCCACTCTTTCCCATCCAACACTTTTTCTCAACCTCTCCCTCTTTATCATGAAGAGCTGAGAAGGTTTGATCATGAAGTTAGTCAATCAATGTTCCAGCAGATGATAAGTCCAGGCAAACTTCATCTCTGCTCATTAAGTGTATCACAAAGTGGAGTGCCATCACATCTGCCTGCACTCCAGATGGCTTCTTGCACACAGAAGCTAAATTCAATCCAAGGTTGTCCCTTTGCGTATCAGGAACCACAAAACTCGGGGGATTTTATAAGACCAAGTCCCGGTAAGTAATCACTTGCATACCATTTTAAAACGAGTCATGTAGAACTGAAATTTAACTAATGTAATAGTTACTGATTATATTCTATGAGCCGTTAGATTTTCAGGGTGATAGCAACATCAATCCAGCTGCAGTTGATAATTTCCTTGAAATGAAATTGCGATCACGTAACTGGCACCCTCATATGCGAGGTTTTTAGTAGCAGAGTGTTGACCACACAACCAGCAGTAGCGGAGGCGGAGATAGAATAACGGTATCAACAATGGAAAATAGATGACAATTGTCTACCCAGATCTTTCATATTTTTGTAGTGAAATAGTTGTGAAGCTGTGTAAATAATAAACCTCTCCTAGTTACCGTCAAATCAGGTATAGTTAGTAGGACGATTGTATATGGAAATTTCATGGTTAGAAATACGGTATGACACAGTAAAGGCTTTTAGTAAATAGGCGGATATGATATAAGAGTTAGTACAGCAAGCCAGTAACTTTCTCGAATTCATACATGCGATGTCTGTAAGATTGAACAGCATGATGTTGGTCCATCAATTTGGTAGTCTCAACTTTTAATAGTTTGTTCTACCCTGCCTTTATTACTATTCTTTTGTATAATTTGTGTTACAAAGTGAATTCTTGATAATTGTTAATATTCATTTGGATTTCAAGTTAATTCTTTCACCTAATTGACTTGCACCATAAAATGAATAACAAGGAAGACACTGCGTGTCATGTTTAGGTGTATCAAAAGTTAATAATGCTATGCTATGCATGTGGGCCGATTGAATCTCAGTTGAGTTCTCAGTACACATGTTCATATCCCAGTGTTAAAAAATTTTACTGTAGAATGTTAGTAAGTGTTTAATAGGAACTGCCTCGCTCTCCAGATGGCTAAATCTAGAAAACAAATATCTGGTACTGTGCATATCTACGCAAAACTATGTACCCTATACATTTCCACATTATTTTCCTTTACTATATACATAACCAAATTGAATTAAGGAATTTATTAAAAGCCTTGTTTAGCTGTGATCACGAGCAGCAACATCTTTTACAGCCAGAGTTGCCATGCCAAGGCATCATGCAAAATTTCACCCCCTGCCTGCATTCAGTAGCTGAAAAACAAAGCCATTTTCTGCCTCCACCCATCTAAGTAGCACTCTTCAACTGCACATCAAGCATATTGATATAATTATCTGTCTCGGATTCCACCTCATATGATGCAAGCAGCCTTCTCTGCATGAATTACACATGCATACTTATATAAATTTTATCATCTTTTCTTCTTTCCATGATCATCCAGTTTGATGTTAGCTTTAGTCATTCAAGTTTCTATGAAGGTGAGAATCCCAAATCATGTATGATGCATTTTTAGGAGCATGATGTGAAATGGACAGTTTTGGAAAGATGAGGAACATATACATAGACCATCTCAAGCAAGAATCCTCAGAAAAGGTATTTGTAAAAATACTCAAACTTTGATGTTAACTTAAAACAGGGGCGAGGCTCAAGTAGAAAATAAGGTGCATTCATCATTATATTTTCATAGTATTAGTAATAGACAGATAATTGATATGAATACTTACATGGTCCTCAAAATCTGGACTTGTTAAGTTGATAGACAGGTTTCTCATCAACAATAGCACCTAAATATAGCCAAGGTCATAGAGAGAGTAAGTACTAGTTGACACATATATTAACATAAAGGCTTTAGTCAAAATTACTAATTGTTAGAAGCTGTTGAAAAAATGATTAGACTGTCAAAATTAATTATAAAACATTAGCCGAGAAGAATAGGAAAGAGTCATTGACAAAAAGAAAAGGCACAAGTACGTACCGTCTCAACATCTATAGGATCCATCCCTTTTAGTTTCTGTAGATGTCCAGTTTCCTTTGGATCAAATACACTGCCAATGAAGTTGTATACTTCAGCAAAATCCGGAAGAACTGCATTAAAAACAGGAAGATAAAACATTAAATCAACATTAAAAGATTGAGAAAAACCACCAATATCATTATTAAGAAAACTTCCTTGGAAAAACGAGAAATTATTCAGGAAATCGTGCAAATAAATTTTCAAAAGGATGTCTGTTCAAAGTGGGTTGGGTCGGTGGGAGTTATGACTCCTTCGGGCAGAAAAAACCTTTCTGTATATAAAGATTAAACCCTACACATTAAACTCTAAAGATTAAACGATTCACGGAACAAGAAAAACACGACACACTATCATTTCCATGTGGTGACCGGTGATTAAAATGATAAAATGTTCTAGACAAGGGACTGCATCAAATTTAATAAATCTAAAGTACTATACAGTAGTAATTACTAAATATCAGAATCATAAGATTATTTATCAGTTATCACTATCTGAAGAGAGCCACTAAATTCAGATAAAAGCTAAAACTTTAAAAAAGTATACATATTTGGCAGTTAAAGCACAGTTCAAACGAATATTTTGGTGACTAAGCCAAAATTACTCTGGACCCACAGTTCTTTTTTGGAATTTAAACTGGAACAAAGCAACAGTGTTCATACTGAAATATACAGCACATGCTATGCACACAGATTATGCATATACAACACTCAACTTTGCGATGCACACATTAAATGTGATGTAATAATGGAAGACGACAACATAGAAATTAGAAAGAAAACCATTAAACCCTTGCCTCTCAATGGATGGCTATTAATATTCCCTCGACAATTAGATTCACCAACCAACTGTGCTCTAGGACTTTCACTGCTACTGCAACAATTATTTACCTTTTTCCCTAAAACACAATATATGGTAAACATAATAAATTAATTAGTATCTTAGGAAAATCATGCAAATAACACCCATAAACTATTTCCACTATTATATAATGTAATTTTGAAGTACGGAAATTTCAGCCTTTAGTACCATGCAATACATTGGTGGTTTCCTGCAGAGAGTTGTTTGACCAGGAAGACACTGCAGTGTTAATAATAGGAGTTCTAAGCATTGCTGAAGAATCAGGCTTTATTATGTATCCAGGTTCAAGCAAAGCCGATGAAGATTGAAAGGATCCTGATACTTGTGAGAGTACTGGGGCTGCCAAATATCACTAACAACTATTAGATACAATTGCATTTTATTGAGTAGCGAAAAATGTAGGCAAGATTATAACCATTTTTTGAAGCTTTCTGAGGATATGGATGGGCAGCTTTTCTTTTTGGTCTGGGTGGAGGAAGATGTTCACTTGTCCCACTCTTTTGAACTTTTAGAAAGTATTTCTGAGCATGGCTACGTATCTACAAAATCAGTAGTAATTTTTCATTCCTTTTTATAGGTATTTGAGGTATCCATTTAACATTGAAACTCATGGAAAAAGTAATAGAAATCTCCACAATCCATACAACTTCCACATATATACAGATCATTAATCCACATAAGCTGAAAAACGCAACCAATGAATATTAAGAGATATACCAGCATATTTCCCTAGAATTTTTTTTATTCCTGTTAACAACATCAAAGGTTTTCTGCTTTCCAAGTTAAGTTAGTCAACTGGTGGTATCCCAGAAGGAAATTTGCATATTCGTGTTCACCCAAACTTACATCTAACAAATTAAACTTTTAGGGTAGTTGGTTCATATGCTTAAAGTTTCAGCTCAGGTTGATCCTTATATAGCAGACACATGGAACTCATAAACTTTCTTCGAATGAACAACTGATTGTTATGGTTGTTAAGTTCTGCACATTTTTTTCTCACCAAAGAAAAAGAAAAGTTTTATGGAGTACGGGTTAAACAAACCACTTCAAAAGCTATAAAGGCAAGGAGGGAAAGA